AGTACAGCCTACGGCTTCCTTTGCTGACCATCATATTAACATGCGCGTCCCACTTAAGATTAGCCTGTACAATCACACCTAGTATCTTAGCAAACTGTACAACTTCAAGTGGTGATGTTTTAACAGTCAGTGAAGGTGGGGGTGGGGGGTTACGCATAAAACATATCAACAGCACCTTACACTTAGAAGGGTTAAGTTTCATGTAGTTTACTTCAGTCCAACGTACAAGTTCGTTAATGTCAGTTTGTAGGGTTGAAACTTGTGTGCTGGGTCTGGCCTCGGAGAGGGACATATCATCGACATATTTCCATGATTTCGCCGAGTCCTCACTCTCCGGGGATGCGTCATTGATGAGGGTCAGAAACACGAGGGGACCCAACTTGGTTCCCTGCGGGACACCACAAGTAAGTGTCTCGGAGTCAGATAGTTCTCCCCGGTACTTAACACGTTGTTGACGACCCGACAGGAATGAGCAAACCCACGGAATAACGGAAGGTCTCACGCCCAAGTCCAGAAGTTTCTTGACTGCAGTTGTATGATGCACTCTGTCGAAGGCACGCGTGAAATCTGTCAAAACGAGAGCGTTACAGTAGCCAGGTTTGTCTGTTGTACATGCCAGGTGATGGAGTAAGCTGGTGAGGTAGTGCGTGGTGGATCTACCTTTCAGGGAACCATATTGTCGTTGATCTATAGCTGGCAGAATGTCGTTCAAACACCACTCAGTGACGAAACCCTCACAAACCTTGGAAAAGATGGGCGTCAAGGATATCGGCCGCAGTTTGTCCAGACGTGGTGGTTTTTCCTTGGGAACCGGAACAACATCGGCCGTCTTCCAGACTGACGGCACGATCCCTTCTTGGAGAGATGAGTTGAAGATGTTGCTGACAGGCGTACTGAGTTCGAAGGCAAATTCTCGCACCAGCCGCGCAGAAATGCCGTCCACCCCAGAAGCCTTGCCCAGTTTCACTCTGCGAAGCCGGTGGTACATGTCCCACACGGATACTTCCGGTGGGGGTCTAGGAGCAGGCAGGAATGCTGGTAGGTCCTGCAGAGATAGCGGCGGGAACATCTGGGACGTTGACGCCAGGTGCATGTTTATGGCGTTAGCGACGGCTCGGGTGGAGTCAGGGTCGATTCCCGGGACCTCAATAACGGGGGGCTCACTGCCTATGTTGGCCATCTGTTTTATGTTTTGATACCATTTTTTGGGGTCGGTCGACTTCAGATGTTTGACGTTGTCATGGTAGTGCTTCTTTTTCGCCAAGGAGATTTCTCGAGCTATTTTGTTCCTGTGACGTTTCCACAAGCAGGTGTCGGCATTCTTGAAAGCTTGTTGTCGTTTTGAAATCAATGTCTTTATGATCGGCGTAACCCATGGTTTGTCTCGACAGTGGAGGCGCACAGATTTGGTCGGGAAGAATCTCTCGACGGCCAGGTTCAAGGTTGTATAGAAAGCAGCACACTTTGCCTCCGTGCTGGTTTCTTGAAGGACTTCGTCCCAGGTGTGAGAAGTAATCCAGGACCCGAAGGCCCTGATATCCGAGTCACGCATAGGTCTCACTACCTTCTTTCGGATGTTATTAGGTAAGTGTCTTGGTTCTCCAGATATTAGGACGCAGTTGTGGTCACTATTACCCACCGGAGGAGCTGTAGTAGGTGGACTGTAGAGTTCCCCCAGGTTCGTCAGGACTTGGTCTAAGACAGCATCACCACGAGTGGGAAGGACTACCACTTGTTGTAGAGATTGGCTTTGGCAAAGGTGGCTGGAGTCCAGGCGGTTCAGGTCACCTAACACCAATAACCCTATGTCCGGGTGGGAGTTACGCAGTTCGTCCATTGACTCTGTCAGGTGATCGAGTAGTGCGTTCTCGTAGGGAGACGCTGGGGGGTTGTACACCGCACAGAGAGCGACCGACGTGATCTCCCTGGGGAGCCATGGAGGACGGAGATGGACCCAGACACATTCCAGTTCAGTAGGTACTGCGAGGTTGACCTGTTTCGCTGTTATGTGGTTCTTTACGTAGACTGCTACGCCTCCACCTCGTTTGTCGGGGCGATCCCTACGAAACAGACTGTAGCCTTCGATTGCGGTGGCCTCTTCCGGCAGGTCGGCAGAGAACCATGTCTCAGTGACGACGGCTATATCAGTTTTACTGGTGGCAAGAACTAAGCTGAACTCGTCTAGCTTGTTTACTAGAGAGCGTGTGTTCGTCAACAAGATGCTTGGCATACCTCGGGGTTGTGACGTCTTCGCTTGATTACGCACAATGGGGCGCAGGTGCTGTTGACGACTGTTGATGCCGTTGGCAACACAGTGGGATTGGATACCGCTGGCTGATTTACATATGAAACGGTCCCATAGAGATTGGGGAGGGCGCTGTACATCAGTACTTAGTACTGATGTAAACAAGAAACAATATACGCGGTCTGGTTGAGTTCATGGCATTTACATGAAACAAGGTGCTAATAGCCGCTAGTCGGTGACGCGTCAGCAGCCCTATGATTGGTCCCCGCTAGAAATCTACTGGATGTCATATAGTGTACATGAGGGGCGGGGGGAGCGCTACAGGTAGACCTGCTAGTTCTCCGCCCAGCCCCCGATGGTATCACAACCCAAGGTCATTGCAGCGGCCGTTGCCAGGGGCAAACCCGCTATACGCCCCCAGTTCAGCGGGGCATACGGAGCTGAGTGAATGAGTGAGTAGAGTGGGTCAAAAACCCTGGAGCTAGAGCTAGCAATAACCAATAGGCATGCGACATTATATTAGTATTGTTCTTGCTGATAGGTTTTGTTATGAATCCATTGCTGATGGATGGATAAAATACGTTTTCCTCATGCTTCTTTTTCTTCCTTTTCCACTTCGCTAAATGAATTTGGACAAACACTGAGGCATAGCAAATACAGCCCGTATCCCTGTTTCCATATGACAAACAGGCTAGCACAGATATACTTCACTTTCACCTGTATTACTCTGACGGCAATCATCATCAAACACTAGCTAGTAGTTAAATGATAACAACAAGCATTAATGGTTATTTAGAGCTATGGAAAAGACAAATTGGTAGCAGTATAAGTCATGTAAAGATACAATATATATTTTCTGCTTACAGATCGCACCAGTGCTAAAAAATTCAACGTCAGATCTCGAAGGTCATATTGTCTGCCGTGTGTAATTGCTGTAATATTCGCAACCGCCATTGGTGTAGGAGTTGGTCTCGTCACCTATTACACGACCGTACAAGAGACCCACCCTCTCACACACACCAGTCCTCCGGTACGGTGGGGTACATCAAGCCGACCAGTGTCAACAGTTCCCATCACCTCTAACGGTTCTACAATGGAAAACAGAGATGACGCAATTTCGGTTAGTCCCCTGCCTTGCATTTAATGTACTGTTATAGACTACTACGGGTGTGTTTTGTATTTAACCATATCTAGACCGCCCCCCTCAGAACTCGCGAGCGGTATATCGTTTGGCCACCATAGCAAAAAATGACCGTCAGAAACACATTGCCACGGCAACACCTAAAATCATTATCTTTTTCCACTGATACAAAATTGTTGCCAATAATATTTTAGATAAAGTCACCAAGTTTGGTGGTTCTAGCGCGAGCCGTTGGGACGCTATTCGACATCATAGTTGGCGCCCCCCCCCCCGGTCTAGATAGGATTAAGAGAAAGCATTTAGAGTTTATTAACCCACAAAGTTTCTACCCAAACCACATATTACCAAACATTATTCAGCCCTATGTGGTTATTTAACATTTCCGCATAAAAGGCAGCTGATGACGTGACGACGACTCATGTATCATTGGCGGATTTGCACCTGCAAATCAGCACAGCAAAACATTCACGCCGGCAACTACGAACAACTCTTCAAATTTCCTTATCACAGTTACTTTATATGTAGTATGTTATGATGCTATGGAAGCCTTATGCGCTTAATTAAAATCATTGGCCTCTTGTTACAGTGAGTAACATTATATTTTTACTTACGAACTCAGCACTTGCTCGGGCTACAACTGAATGCTCGGACCGACATCCATGATCATACGCCCAATGTGACAACCACACTGTCCGAGATGACAACCACACTGCCCATGGTTACAACAACACTGCCTAAGGTGACAAGCACACTGCCCAAAGTAACAACCACACTGCCAGAAGTGACAACTACAGAGGTTAGTTACACCAGTGATGGTGACAACCACACTGCCACATGTGACAGAGACTCCATCAAGGATGATAGTTAAGCTTATAAAGATGACGGTGTTATTGCTGGCCAACGTATACGGAGACCAAAACCAAAACCTCGATTTCAAAGGAGATAACAACAAGAGTGATTCCTTGCACAAACACAAATGCATTTAAAATCACAATTCAAAACCTTTTATCCTCAATGCCAGCCTTCTTGATAGTTCGAAACTTTGTTATTCTGGTAATATGTTCAAAACGTTTGGCAGAATTATGTCTTTCTTTTTATATGTATTTTTATTATAGGCCATAATTAAAGATTATCTCGTTTTCAGCGCATGAATTTTCCGTTTCTAGAAGACGTTTTAGAATATCCAGAAAATCACGAAGCAGCTCAAAAATATTCCATACTTTGCAAAAATGATAACCCTAATGAACGTCGTACAAGATTAATTCCAAATGAAAAGACGAAAATGAGAATAAAATTAAACATGCTATTATTTGACAAATCATACTCTATTGTTCGTCATTTGTCCAACATTGAAGACCGTAATTTCATAATTTTTTGCAACTTCTTGCCAACCTTTTTTAACGTACCCGCTCGCATCAGTTTTGGGTTCACGAAAGATGACATCCATATAGTCAAATCAACATCGCCTTCAATTTAATAAGAATAAAAAAGAATATGCACTAGTCCTTATTTGTCATCGGAATTGGAAACGCCAGCGTAATTTCGACAAGAAAGCTTCAGCATGCAAGTGGTATCCATTATGTATTAAAATGTGTCGTCCTACAAATTGTTAAAATGACATTATGTTCATACGTCTTCTTTTTACCACATGATGTCAAACGGACCGGGTTTGACCAGGTTCAGAAGACTACAGAGTCCCGACACTCAACGATGCAAGAAGGTACGACACTCTGGCGAATTATTTAACCTGCATTAGCCGACGTGATGACACACACAAATACAAACACACACACACATACATACATACACACACACACACACACACACACACACACACACACATACACACACACACATACACACACACACATACA